GTTTGTTCTTGGAACGCTCCTAAAAATAACTCGGTCAAACGAGGGCAGGGCTGGGCTGGGCTGGGACCGGCCTCCGAAACGGTGCTCCTCCCTTCCGTCCGTCCGAGGCCTCGAGTTCCAATTACTCATGAAAGAAGTTTTTGTGTGCCTCGTCCCACATTCTAATGAGTTTCCAGGAAATATCACCAAAATGATGTTGGCGTCGACGAGACATGTTTTTTCAAAAACTCTTGCTCGCTGCTCCCTTCCCCTGCAGACTCCAACCGCATAAAACATGTCAGTCTCTGGGACGTGTTACTGTAGCGGTGTGTCAGTGCCGCAGCCGAGGGTATCGGACCCCAGAACCACCGAGTCTAGCCAGTTCGAGTCAGCACACCCAGAATAACGCTCAGCAGTCTCTCCTCCTCCCACAGTCCAAACTTCGCCTCTGTCAACCCAAGACACTCTCAGGGTTTCCAAGCCAGTCCATCTTTGTGGCCTTATTTCTTTGTCACCACCTCTGTCCAGCTCAGTCAAGAGTGCGGTGCCGACCAAGTTCCTGAAGGACCACAGCTACGGTCCAGGTGCTCAGGGGTCCCAGCCTACGATGCAGCTGCATCTGCACAGCTGCCATCTGGTCCCCATGTGTCAGGGGCGGGGAGCCTCCTTGGCCGCCCATCTCATCTCCGTGTCCATCATGACGGTCCAGCCCTGCCCCAGTCCCAAGCTCAATGAGCTTCCGTTGCTGGAAAGAGGCAACCAGATCTGACCAGCCTCCAGGCTGCCGCTTCACACCGGGCTGGCTAGTGGGCATTTCACACCTTCCCCCGGCAGAGGAGCTAAGCCGCAGAAACGAGCTTGGGTTACATTGCAGCGTCCAGCCAACTTGGCAGCCCCACGGGTCAAGGCTGGTGTACGGCCAGACGCGAGTCCAGCACAGCTAAAAGGCCTTAAACAGTCCTTTGCTGCAGAGGTAGGAGCGCCTGGGCAGGCTTTGTCGGTGGGGCCTCGCCCGCAGTCCACGATTTCTGCACCGCGCTCTTCCTGACACCCTTCCCCCTCCTGACAGCGGTCCCCACTCCCCGTCGCCCTTCGGGCATCTGCACCCCTGCGTCTCCCACATGCTGCCCGTGAGGAGGGCTGCAGACACTGTGGGTGGGGAGCAGACTCCTGTGCCAACTCCACTCTCGTGGCAAACCTCAGACTAATCCAGCCCTGCCTGGCCAGCCCATGGCTTTGAGGTTGCCTCACCACGCTTGCATGCCAGAGCTCCACCACAAGCTGCAGCTGGGATCTTGACTCTAGAAGAGCAAGAGGATCCCTCCTCATGAACATCTGAGCTTCCGTGAAGGCTGTGCCTGGGATCGTGACTCTGGAACATCTAAAACAATCTTCACCGTCAACACCTGAGCTTCCGTGGAGGTTACAACAGAGTTCTCAGCTCTGGAACACCGAATGGACCCCTCACTGTAGACGTCAGAGATTCGCCGGAGACTGGAGGTGGGGTCTCTGTTCTGGAACATCAAGAGGGCCACTCATCATGGACATCTGCGCCTCATCAGAGGCTGGAGCTGCAGTCTCACTTCTGGAACATCAAGAGGGTCCCTCATCATGGACATCTGAGGAACATCAAGAGGGCCACTCATGATGGATCTCTGAGGCTCATCAGAGGCTAGAGATGCAGCCTCAGTTCTGGAACATCAAGAGGGCCACTCAGCATGGACATCTGAGCTTCATTAGAGGCTGGAGCTGCAGTCTCACTTATAGGACATCAAGAGGGTCCCTCATCATGGACTCTGAGCCTCATCAGAGGCTGGAGCTGAGGATTCAGTTCTGGAACACCAAGAGGACCAGTCAACATGGACATCTGAGCCTCTTTGGAGACTGGAGGTGCAGTCTCTGTTCTGGAACACCAAGAGGGCCACTCAGCATGGACATCTGAGCCTCAGCAGAGGCTGGAGCTGCAGTCTCACTTCTGGAACATCAAGAGGGTCCCTCATCATGGACATCTGAGCTTCTTTGGAGGCTGGAGGTGCAGTCTCTGTTCTGGAACATCAAGAGAGCCACTCAGCATGGACATCTGAGCCTCTTTGGAGGCTGGAGCTGCAGTCTCACTTCTGGAACATCAAGAAGGCCACTCATCATGGACATCTGAGCTTCTTTTGAGGGTGTAGGTGCAGTTTCTGTTCTGGAACATCAAGAGAGCCACTCATCATGGACATCTGAGCTTCTTTGGAGGCTGGAGCTGCAGTCTCACTTCTGGAACATCAAGAGGACCACTCATCATGGACATCTGAGCTTCTTTGGTGGCTGGAGCTGCAGTCTCAGTTCTGGGACATCAAGAGGGCCACTCATCATGGACATCTGAGCCTCATCAGAGGCTGGAGATGCAGTCTCTGTTCTGGAACATCAAGAGGGCCACTCATCATGGACATCTGAGCTTCATTAAAGGCTGGAGCTGCAGTCTCTGTTCTGGAACATCAAGAGGACCACTCATGATGGACATCTGAGCTTCTTTGGTGGCTGGAGCTGCAGTCTCACTTCTGGGACATCAAGAGGGCCACTCATCATGGACATCTGAGCTTCTTTTGAGGGTGTAGGTGCAGTTTCTGTTCTGGAACATCAAGAGGGTCCCTCATCATGGACATCTGAGCCTCTTTGGTGGCTGGAGCTGCAGTCTCACTTCTAGAACATCAAGAGGGCCACTCATGATGGACATCTGAGCCTCAGCAGAGGCTGGAGATACAGTCTCAGTTCTGGAACATCAAGAGGGCCACTCATCATGGACATCTGAGCCTCAGCAGAGACTGGAGCTGCAGTCTCACTTCTGGAACATCAAGAGGGCCACTCATCATGGACATCTGAGCTTCTTTGGTGGCTGGAGCTGCAGTCTCACTTCTGGGACATCAAGAGGGCCACTCATCATGGACATCTGAGCTTCTTTGGTGGCTGGAGCTGCAGTCTCACTTCTGGGACATCAAGAGGGCCACTCATCATGGACATCTGAGCCTCAGCAGAGGCTGGGGATGCAGTCTTAGTTCTGGAACATCAAGAGGGCAACTGATCATGGACATCTGAGCTTCTTTGGTGGCTGGAGCTGCAGTCTCACTTCTGGGACATCAAGAGTCCAACTCATTATAGACATCTAAGGTTCATCAGAGGCTGGAGCTGCATTCCCACTTCTGGAATATCAAGAGGGCCACTCAGCATGGACATCTGAGCCTCAGCAGAGGCTGGAGATGCAGTCTCAGTTCTGGAACATCGAGAGGGCCACTCATCATGGACATCTGAGCCTCATCAGAGGCTGGAGGTGCAGTCTCACTTCTGGAACATCAAGAGGGCCACTCAGCATGGACATCTGAGCCTCATCAGAGGCTGGAGGTGCAGTCTCACTTCTGGGACATCAAGAGGGCCACTCATCATGGACATCTGAGCCTCATCAGAGGCTGGAGGTGCAGTCTCTGTTCTGGAACATCAAGAGTCCCACTCATCTTAGATATCTGAGTTTCATTAGAGTGAGGAGCTGGGGTGTCAGATCTGGAGCATCAAGAGGGCCACTCAGCACGGACGGGTGAGCTTCTTTACAGACTGGCACTGGAATCTCAGTTCTGAACTTCATGAGGCCCACTCATCATAGGAAATTGAGCTTCATTCAATGCTAGAGCTGGGGTGTCAGCTCTGAACCATCTATGGGTCCCTCATTCTGGAATGCTCAGCTTCATCCGAGGCCGGGGCTCTGGCCATCATACCCGTGACTCTCTGGGACTGCCAGGCCTCTACTGGCTGGGCATGGCCTGATCCGGGCGGGACATAGTGTGAAGGCCTCCTCCTGCTAATCTCGCTGCTGCCTGACCATCACTCAGCGCCGTCCAGATCTCTGTCTCCATCGGAGACTGGGGGCAGGTCTCCTGCGCCAGACATCGCCACAGTTCTCCAGTGGTTCTTTATCTTCAAGAAGTAGCCATGCTCAGCTCCATGCGGTAATGTCTGGACTCACTTTTATTTCTCTTGAAATACCCTCATTGGGTGGAGGGAGAAAAGAGGCAGGGAAAGAACAAAGAAAAAGAGAAGGAAGAGCAAGGAGGGAGAGGGGAAAAGGAGAGGAGAGGAGAGGAGAGGAGGGGAGGGGGAGGGAGGGGAGGGAGGGGGAGGGGGAGGGGAGGGGGAGAGGAAGGGGGGCAAAGGTGGCGGTGGCGGTGGCTTTGACGATGACAGTGGCGATGGTGGCTGTTAGCGCTTCCTTCCCACGGGTTGCGTGTCCAGCTCATCCGCTCCGGTGGTGCCAGTTGGGCCGGCCCGAAGACTCCGTGTGGACGAGGATCGGAAGCTCTCCACCCTTGTTCCTTCAACCCCCCCTCGGCCCCAGCCACACACTGCTGGCCGACAGCTGGCGAGCCCGGAGCTACTCTCGGGACCCCTGCCACGCAGCGGGCGCGTCTGAGGCTGGGCCAGTGGGGCCTCTCAGGGCCCTCCTCAGTGACCATCTCATAGAACAAGTGCTGGCCCAGCGTCACAGACAGGCCGGACCTGCTTGGCCACCCGCTTGTCATCAGTTCAAGAACCACAAGTGCTCGGCCAGGGCCCTGCCACGACTCTGGGAATGTGTGTGTGTGTTGGGGGGGGGGGGGGGCGGCGAGGAGTCACGGGCCTGGGGGCAGCCCCCAGGGGCTGCAGAAGCCAGGGCAGTGAGCGCCTCTCAGGCTTCCTCCGCCCCCAGAGTACCCTCCTCTCTGTAAGGAAACCCCGTGCCCGCCACCACTAGAAGGAGGGGACGAGCTGGGCTCTTTCATCCACATGCACGCCAGTCTTGGGCCCTTCACAAGGCCAGCCCTGCTTGAGGACACCCTAGCGCTCAGTGCTGGATGGACAGGGACGAGGCGGAGACCGGAGTGGACTCCCCTGCCCCTCCCCTTACCCATCACACTGCCCTGAGTGAGGGGGAGCCCCCGTGACAAGGGATGTCCGACATGCACCCCCCCCCACACCAGCAGCATATCCACCAGCGCGTTTGTTAAGGCAGAAACACATTTATTGAGAGCACGACGGGGTGCATGCCACGCCCCAGCTCAGGCACGATCCGAGCGAGTGACACAGGCTCCTCACAACAACCCTGTGAGGTAGGTGCGGGAGCCCCGTTCACGGCCGCAGACGTGGAAGGCGCAGCCGGACGCCCACGTCTCGGGGTTCGTGAGGGCGGGAAGGGGTCAAGCGCGCGTGTCTGGCCCTCGGATCAGTGAAGTCCATCGGTCAGAGGGTGGGTGGCTACTGCAGGGGAGGCCGAGGAGGGCACGCCCGTCCGCGCAGGGGCGGCCCAGGTCCAGAGTCTTTGGGTCCAGCCTGTCCCGTGGGAGTGTGCGCAGGGCGTCCCCGTGGCTGTGGAGGCTGAGAGAGACACAGGGGCAGATGAAGACCACCTGCCCCCCGTCGCCCTGGCTCGCAAGAGTCCCCAGGCGCACAGGCGGGCCAGGAGCGAGGCGAGGAGGGACGCCCACCAAGCACCAGAGAGCTGGGACAACTCGGGAAAGGCCCTGGTTGCCAGCGCCCCGGGTGGGGAGTGGAGCCTCCAGCCACCAGCCCCCGCCTGTCTGCCCAGTGCCTTTCAACCTCCGGTGTCCTGCACACCACCCACACCCACGCCCACGCCCACGAGGACTGCCAGAAGCCCAGCCCCGGTCCTGGCACCCTAGCTCCCGTGGCCACCCACTGCCACGGACCTCTGGCTGTTTTCTAAACCATCGGCCTCATCCTCCTCTAGGGGCTTCTAGAACTTCTCCCTGACCCTGCCAGGCTGGCTTCCACCCCCTCCCCTCCAGACCTGTCCACTCTCCATGTTGGAAAGCACGCCTTGCCCTCACTCCCCGTCTCCGGACCTCTCCAGGAGCTCCTCCTCCACCCTCCACCCCGCCCCCAGAGTCCCCGGCGGGACAGGGTTCTGCGGACGGAGCCCCCCAGCAGAGGAAGGTCAAGGGCGCCTGTGTGCCAGGTAACAACGCGTTTGTTTTTCACGTGCACAACCTCACGAAGGCAGCAACCACGCCAGGCAGTGTGACTAGTCCCTGATCACAGCACAGCTCACACAAAGGCAACATCCAACCCCACGACGTCCCCCGCACGTTGGCCAAAACCTGGTCCCACCAGCCTGCCCGAATCAGGCTGCCCTGCCGGCCCCTCCTCCTGGCCCCGAGCCCACCCCAGGGGTACGCATGGTGCCTTTCCAAATCACAGGTTCCAAACCCTGTCTGTGAAGACCCTCAGGCCGGCCCGACAAGAAGGGTGCTCGCTGCCCGTGCCACTCCTGCCCCCCCACCGCGAAGACAGACCCCAGCTGTCACTGTTTGAAGCCTCACACACGTGTCCAGCGCCGAGGGCCTGGCTGTGCCCAGTCTACCTGTGGTCCAATGCAACGAATAACATGCCAAGTCCTCAGCAGTGCCCCCAAGTCCCACGCGGGCGGCAGTGCACTAAGGTGGGGGCCCACCTGGCCAGACACCCGCACGGACGCTGGGTGCCGCCTGCAGCACGCGCAAAGTACCGTGTGCCTCAGACACCCCGGTTCGCTGATGAGTCGTCCGTGCGGACCCCTCGCAGGGCGGGATCCTTGCCAGCCGCGTGAGCAATCATCTCCCCGCATTTTCTCCGAGTGGAGCCGGCATTAACTCGGCCCAGATGGGACGGGAATAGCTCTAGGACCCCCCTCGGGGCTGCCAGGCCCAGGTGCGCTAATGGCTTGAAAGCCGGCTCGCAGCCAGAGCCAGCCGCTCCCCTCAGACCCCGGCTCTCACCCGAGCCTCTCGAGGCCGTGGCCTGTGATTCCCGGCCGCACGGGGGACTCGGTTTACTGATTACCAATCAGCCGAGTTTTGTGGAGAACGAAGCTGGAGAAGACAAACTTTCAAGAGCATGCAGACTGGGAAGTGGCAGCGGCGCTGGGGGTCTCCCCGGGCGACTGCCGCACAAACGCGGCCCCTCGCACACCGGCTCGGGTCCCTTTCCGGGGGAGAGGTCAGGACGGCCCTGTGCCCCGGCCCTGGTGCCGCGCTAGCGGGGTTTCCAAAACCTGTGCTCAGCGTGAGGGACACAGGGGGTGAGGAGGGCGGGGTCTGGGGGGGACATCTCCCTGCTGTGTGGGTGGTGCGTGGGACCCACACTCACATCGGTCACCCCTCTGTCATCATCGTCGGCCAATCATTCATTCTCTACACTATACTACACTACAACTGTGTCCGTGCTTCCATTCTCTCACCCATCAGCCAACAACTCCCACTCATTACTCCATTCTCCCGCCCTCTCATTTATTAACCAGTCACCGAACACCCACTGCATCTTATTCCGTCCCTCCACCTTCTCACTCCTCGGCCAATCATATCGACTCGGTGCACCTCCATTCATCCTCCCAGACTCTCTTCCAGCGGCCAACCAACCACCCATTCATTGTGTCTTCACCCGTCCTTCCATCCCCTAATCCAATGATTCAGTTTCGTCCATCTTTCCATCCTCCTACTCGCTCTGGCCTCAGCCAATCATTCCTTCCCGCACTGTACCTTCATCCATCTTTCCAACCCCTCCTCCGTCAGCCAACTGAGGACCGCTCGTGCGTCTTCACTGATACCGACATTCTCTCATTATCAGCAAATCCCTCAGCCACTCACTGCGCCTTCATCCGCCCTTCCATCTTCCCGCCCATCAGCCAGCCACCAAACCAGCCACACACATCTTCACCCATCCTGTCATCCTTCCATTCCCTCATTCAGCCAACCAATCCCCTGCTCGGCACAACTTCCGTTATCCTTCAGTTCTCTCATGCATCAGCCAATCATTCCTTCACTCAACGCATCTCATCCATGTTTCCACCCTCTCCTCTGTCGGCCAACCACTCCCTCACTCCACATATTTTTATCTCCCCTTTTATCTTCTCATCCGTCAGCCCACCACTCGCCACCTGACCACGTCTCCATCCATCCTTCCACCTCTCATTTGTTAGCCAATCACTGACCATTCAGCATCTTCATCCGTGCCTCCATCCTCCAATCACTAGCCCACTACATCTTCATCCATCTTTCTTTCCTTTCCTCCATTAGCCAACCACTCACCCATTCATTCACATCTTCAACCATCATCCATTCTTATACCCTCCATCCATTACCCAATAGTTGACCACTAATTGTATCTTCATCTTTCCATCTTCATCCACCAGCCAAGCATTCTCCCACTCACTACATCTTCACCCATCCTTCCACCCTTTCACTGAACAGCCAAACAAAAACACACTCCCTACATCCTTGGTCATCCCTGCATCCTCTTATCCGTCAGCCAACAACTTACCCACCGACTGCATCTTCATTGATCCTTCCACCCTCGCATTCACTAACCACTCACTGACCACTCACTGACCACTCACTACATCTGCATCCATCTCCCAATTCTCTAATCCACGAATCAACCACTAACCCACAATCACATCTTCATCCATCCCTCCATTCTCTCAATCATCAGTCAGCCAATCACCTACTTACGACATCTTCATCCATCCCTTAATGCTCTCATCCATCAGCCAATCATTCATTCACACACTACACCTTTTTCTATACTTCTATCAATATATTCTCATTCATTAGCCAACCACTCATCCACTCACTACATCTTTATACATCCTTCCATCTTTCCATTTACTCATCCATTATTAGCCAATCAATGACCCCTCACTACATTTTCTTTCATTCCTCTGTCCTATCAATCATCCGCCAATCCTTCCTTCACGCACTACACTTTCATCCATTCCACAATCCTCTCAGCAATGAGCCAACCAGAACCACTCATTTACATCTTCATTCAACCTGCCATTCTTCCACCCTCCAATCCATCAGCCAGGAACTCATCTACCAACTACATCGTCATCCCTCCTTCCATCCCCTCGTCCATCAGCCAACCACTGACACACAGTCACATGCTCATGCATGCCTCTGTCCTCCCATACATCAGCCTACCAATCACCCAATCATTGCATCTTCATCCTACCTTTCATCCTCTTGTGCATTCGTTCACCTCTTAATCCATACTTCCAAAGTTCCATTCTCTCACCCATTAATCAATACTGACCACTCCTTATTTCTTCATCCTCCCTCACACATGCAAATCCATCAGGCCAACCAATCAGCCACTCACTATATCTTCATTCATCTTTCCATGCTCATCCATCAGTCAACCGGTAGCCACACAGGATGTCTGCACCCATCCCTCCATCCTCTCATCCATCAGCCAGCCAATCACCCAACTACGACATCTTCATCCATCCCTCCGTCCTTCCATCCATCAGACAACCACTCCCTATTCTCATTTTCATCCCTATTGTCCTCTTACCCATCAGCCAACCACTGACCTGTAACCACATCTTCATTCATCCCTCCATCTTCTCATCAAAGCCAACCAATCACTCATACATTACATCTTTGACCATCACTCCCTCCTCTAATCCATCAGCCAACCAAGCACCCACTCATTATGCCTACATCCATCCTTCAGCTCTCTCATCAACCCGCCAATCATCCATTCACTCACTACATCTTCATGCACCCTTCCATCCTATCTTCCATCTGCCAACAAGTAACACACTCACTACACCTTCACATGTCCCTCCATCTTCTCATCCATCAGCTAATCATTAACTTATTACTCCTTCATCCATGGCTCCATCCTCTGCTTCATCAGTCAGCCACTGACCGCTCACTCACATCTTTACTCACCTTACCTCCACTCAGTCATCAGTCAGTTCCTCTCCCACTCACGACATAATCATCAATGCTTTCACCCATCATCCGCCCACCTACCCACGCAACACTTCTTCACCCCTTCCTCGTCTCACCCATCGCCACTCACCCACACTTATGGCTTCATTTCTTCCAGACTCTCATCTCTCAATGAATCAATCGATCACCTGTGGCCTACATCTTGATCCATCCTTCCACCCTCACACACATCAGCCAACCACTGACCCAGCCATTAACATCTTCAGCAGTCCCTCCATCCTTTCATGCATCACCCAGTAAGTCACTCGCTCGCCCCTTCATCAGTCTCTCCATCCTCTTATCCATCAGCCAACCACTGACCCACGCACTGTGTCTTCATCCCTCCTTCCATTCTTTCATCCACCGCCCAATCACTGACCCACACTCACACCTTCATCAATCTCTCAATTCTCTATCCATCACACAGCCAATAACCTACTCACTAAATCTTCAACCATCCCTCTGAAGTTTCAGCAATCAGGCAATATTTCGATCACTCACTACACCTTCATCTACCCTTTCATTTTCTCATCCATCAGCCAACAACTCACCAGGTTTCTGACATCTTCATCCATCCTTCCATCCTCTCGTCCATCAGCT